CGGTCTCGATGTAGTTCACTAGGGTTTATTAGGCTAAGGAAAGGGGATTTTAGGTGGAAGATCGATTAATCGAGGCGGGGTAAAATGTGGGTAAGGTAAAAAAAAGGGGGAGGGGGTTTATCTGACATGGTTAAATAAACACGTGTAAGCATTTTATTGGTATATTATTCCACGTGGGAAGCGTTTAAAAATACGCACTTAAGTTTTTACAGCCCGTTCATGTGTTGTGTTTAAATAGTATAGTCCAAAATACAGTTAAAATGTTCAATAAGAAAAACGCTAAGTTAAAGTGTCAAAATGAAAACTTGAGCCAAATTTAAGGGGTCGTACACCTATTTGACCAAAGTTTTTCAAATAGGATCTTCCACATAGTTAAGGAGGGGCACAATGCATGCTACAAGTATTATAATTTAAATGGTCTGAATTATCTTGATGCGCTTTAGTTGCTACTTAATTACTCACTGGCATGGAAATTCCAAACAGATTAAATTTAAAGCGAAATGGCTTCGTGGCCACTTAAACTTGTATTGGATTTTAAAGCCGATATATAAACTTTTAATTTTCCCATTTTAGCACCTCAACTCAACCAATTGAGTATAAATAAACCCCTTCGTCAGAGCGTGTAGCTCAATTGCCTGACAGGAAGAACACGTCAAATTCTAAGACCATTTATTATTTTACATGTATCATTTGTGGGTCCCTTTTCCTTAAACTAATTTATCAAAATTTCTTTCTTATTTTACTTCTTTCACTGTTTCTTCTATAACTTTTAGCACTGCAGTCCGAGAAAAAAAATCTCAGCCATAACCTGACCACATGCCTCAATCACCCATGAACTTCCATAAAATCCATAGAATTCATACCCCATGTCATAGAGCCGATGGGGCACCTGTTAAAATTTCGTCAAGGTATCAAGAGAGCCTGCGAGGCTATGTCCAAAAAGGACATTAATGGTGAAATTAGAAAGAGAGAAGAAGTCGAACTCCGTAAGTGGAATTTTCCGGCTAAAACTCGACAATTTTCCAATGGTCTTTCTCTTTTATCTATCTATCTTCTAGTCTGAGATGGATACAAAAAAAAGAGATGGAGTTAATGTGGGAGAAAGGATTGATAGATTTTTTTTGACAAAATTCATTGCTCTTTTTTTTTGTTTTTTACTTCGCTGGGTTTGAAACAAAAAGAGGAAGAAGCGAGGAAAGATTGGAGTTGGGTAGAAAGAAAAGGAGGGGAAGGTGTGGGGAAGATGACAATGGGAAAGGGGAAAAGAAACAGGAAGAGGTTAGGGGGGTAATGGTATTACTGATTTGGGGTGGGGGTAAGGAGGGGTGAGGGCTTATTTTCTTTATTTTTCATTTGCAATTATTTTTTTTATATTTTAGATTTTTTAAAATCAAAATAATTGTAGTCACGCGTCTAATTTACATGACTTGCACACTGATTGTCCACATCACCTCTGTCACTACCACATGTGCATGGTCAACGGTCAAATAGGTTTATTAGTTATCAAATACGTGAGTTTGAGTGTTCAAATGGGAACGGTGTAAGTTTGTGTATCGGCTCCACAAATGAGAGCAAGTTTAAATGGCCAGAAGGTCATTTCGCCTAAAAATTTAATGTTTCAACTTTCAACCCACTTCGACCAGAATCACATAGGAATAAACATGAGATCAATAGTCTCCTATAATTGAAGTCAACAATCGGATTAACTTTTAGCGATCACTTTTTAATTGAACGAATATGAATACGATCAGTATAACTGTATGCCACGCCCCAACTTTGAGGAGAGAGATCGATACTCACCCGAGATATCCCAATCAAGCAAACCTACTTGATGCATACTACCCAACCTTGCCCATGAGTGATTCAAGAATAAATGATAATAGATAGTCAATCAAGGAGATAAGATGTACAACACAAATTTTACATTAATTCAAGGCGTTTCATTAGATAGATGACAAAATAATTACAATTCTTAGATTGTAAGTGCAAATAAGTGTCCAAAATAGCATTTAAAGTTTTCTTCATACTAATATAACCCGTAGCACATCTACAGAGCCTCTAAGTAAACATGATAGTAATATAGAATTTGTCGGTGAGAAGGCCCCGACTATACCTCAAAATGATAAACAAGAGACAATGCAACAAAGCCCCCAATATGAGGTAGTTAGGGCTCACCAAGTCAGCTGAGAAGAGGGTACTATAGAGATCCTGCACCACCTGCTGAGTAACCGCCCACATCCATTAAAGATGTGGCATCCCCATCAAAAGGGATGTTAGTACATATAGACTAGTACTATTATGTAAGCTAAGTACTCTTACATTGAATGGAGTGCCAATATAAAAAGAGAGAAACATGAGAACAATGAAAAAATAATAATATTTAAATGCCAAGTTAAAACACAATCAACTTTCAAATAAGTATTTACATTTTTAGTTGGGAGATCATTGGTTACTGACACACCACCATGCACGTGGCATAGAGTACAATCTTGGCCCGATCGGTTAGGCCGTCTCACCCCAATGTATGTGGGTTGACAAAGAAACACGAAACCACCACTATGTGCGCGACACGACGTCCGATCTCTGCTTGATCGATTAGGCCGTCCCACCACAATGTTGTGTGGATCGACATAGTCTTTGCTAGCTATCAATTCATCTCAATCAAAGGGAATAATCTCAACATATTATAAAGGAGATCTTGTCCCTCAATCAAATCCTATACCGACAAGTTTATTTTCAGGATTAGGCTTTTACAACTCACCCTTACCCGACGACCTAACGATACTCCCAAAAGTATTTTTATATAAATAAAAATATATCTGTCTCATAGCTTTCATAAAATCTTTCATTTCATTGGCACTATTGGTCATACATGATATTCTTTATTCTTGGCACGATGATGATATTTCATATTTCATACTTTTATTCCTTTACTTGTCATGAATCATCATAAAATATTAAAGACATTTAAAATATTTGGAAGATTATAGTTTCAATCCATAAGTACATAAGAGCTCAAAACATATTGGAAATAATTACAAAGAGAGAGCATAGTGATTTCAATGGAATTATGGATTGAGTTCAGAAGCGCTTTATAAATCAATCATTTGTGGCATTTTTACACAATAAGAAAAGAACTTGAACAAATCATACCTGGAATTCATAAGGAGATCACGAAATCCAATTCTAAAGAGGGAGTAGCCAACATACCTGAATTAATTAAGCCTTTTTAGGATTACTACAGCGTTTCACTATTCTTAGCAACATCAATCTATAGAAATATAATCAAATTGAACCATTATTAGGGAGGTGTTCATAGTCTAGGTCATATAGGAATTTCATCAAATACATAGTGTGCATACTTGACTATATCTCCTTACAATGAATTTCTTCACCCCACAACCAATCCCGAAATTAATAATTCACCAATTAATAGTTCAACAACCTCCATACAACCTTTATCGGCATATGCTTGCCCAATGACTAACTCACAGTTCAAGAATCACACCTTACATTCTTCACATACACCCCAAATTCGAAATTAAGGGTTTATGGCTTCCAATCATCATCCCATAACCCTCAACATAATAATCATACTCATAAACTGATTATAAAACATTGCATTTGAGTTAGAATTAAAGTCTTACCTCTTTAGTAGAAGACCTTGTGAGTTTTTCTTCTTGAATCCCCAACATTTGAGTAAGAATGTGAAGTGTAGAAGTGATAGAGCTTCTCCCTCTCTATCTAAATTGCTCTCCTCTCTCTAAAATATCAGGTTATACCTTCTAAAATAATCCCCTAAGTATATCAAAATAGAGTTGGATTAGGAAATTTTCAAAAATAACCCCGATATCAAATTCGCAATCGCGGAATGCACTGCGTAAAGGATATGCAGTCCACGAAATGGATAGCTAAATGGTCTTCAGAATCTGGGTTGGGTCTGGTTAGGTATGCGATGGATATGCGATCTGTGAGACAATTCTGCGGTCGCACACTAGACTGCAAAGTCTCCCTCCAAAAATTCTCATTCTGATTATGCGACGGATATGTAGTCCGTAAAAATGCTATGTGGTCTGTATAATCCACCGCGAAATGACTCTCAAAATTGAGTTGCTTCTAACTCATTCCGCGATGATTCTATGGTTGGCGGAACAGAACTGTGATTGCACAATGAACCGCACAATTGCCATTTTCTGCAAATTTTTCTACCAACTCCATAAAATATTGTACAGTCCAAAAATCTGTACTACGGCGAGCTTACTTTTCTACAATCTTCCAAACATATAAGCTTATCTTGGTACCATAAAATCTTAAATCCTTAGCGAACTTTTACGGGGGCTTAGAGTATACGTGTAGTGACTGGATTTTATGGCCATTCAAATTTTAGTTCAACAATAATGAAAGAAAAATATATGGTTGTTATAAAACATGTCCGGTTATTAAAACTAGTACTTACTTCCTCTTTTTTTTTTGGGAGCCAGCTTTATAAAAGTTTCACTTCAGACATTCTCCTCCTCCTCCTCCTCCTTTTTCTGATTCTGATGTGGCACTCCTCTCTTTGATACTGCTTAGGGATTCTTCTTCTTATTCCTCTTAGTTACAAAATAGATGACAATTTGATGATTGGGGTTTGTTCTTTATGATATTTGAAAGTTATGTTTCAAATTTGAGCTTATTTGGAGTAGATTTGGGTGTTGAATCATACGTTGGATTATTTAAATTCAAAGAATAAATTTTTGTTTCGGGCAATTTGCCCTTTAGACTAAAAAGTCTTAAAAGTGCATGTAAAAATTAGCTGCACTAAGTCTTAAGTATAATTTTGGCACTTCGGACTAAAAAAGTCTTTAGTGCACGCGAAAATTAACCGCACTTCAAACTAAAACTACCTTAAGTTGTGTCTTACGCAAAAATTGTATACTTGAATGATGACCCTAAAACTGGCTATATATGCAAATCCCCGCCTGCTTATGTTCCCGATTTTTGCCCTAAGTCCAGCCCTCCCGCCCAAACCACCCACTCCCAGGAAAAAAAGAAAATTCCTTTGATAAATTTTTAATTGCCTGTTTTTGCCTTCCCCGCTTAACTAATTCCTGCAGTAGCAGTCTGGTTTTCCTTCTTCTGCTTTTTCTATGCTTAAGTAAGGTGTAGATTTGCGTTCTCTATGTCTTGCTAATGAAATTTGATTGCATCTTGCTGCGCATTTTGTTTGATGTTTTAATTTAGATGCATTTTCAGCATTTTTAATTGGATTTATGAGCTTAGAATCTCAAATTGGCTATTGAGACCATAGAGTTGAACGATTTAGGCTTCAATTATGACTTCCTTGTTTGCTTTGACTTGAAAATAGGTCCATGTTTGTAGTTCTCGCCGAAACCCTAAATTCAAGTCACAAAAATTTAAGCTCGTTGTTGCTGGCCATTTATGCTAATTCAAGAAGTATCCGATGCTTCTTTTATTTTAAGAATTTGGAGTCTGAGTGTTTTCAACTGGCAATGTGGTTAAGCAGGAATTGATTTTGAATTTCGGAATTTAGGATTAATATGTACTGATTATATGCCATTTCTTGAATTTATGTCTGCTATGTTATTTTGTCAATTGTATTTCCTTGTTTGCTTTGACCTGAAATCAACTTACAGACATTGAAGCTCGTTGTTGATGACCATTTAGGATTCAAGAATTGTCGGGACCTTTTTTTATTTTAAAAGTTTTGAGACTGTGAGTCTTTCAGTTGGTAATAATGTGGTTGGAGTAGGAACGGTTAAATTGATTTCGAATCTCAGAACTGATTATATGTGATTTCCTGAATTTATTGTCGACTCTGTTATTTTGTCAATGTTTGATTCCTACTCCATTGTTCTTGCTTGCTTGAGTAGAAATATTAAGTTTTATGTTATCAGGTAACTGTTAACAAAGAACATCCACCAACTTGTCCAATATCTGGTGTTGTTGCATTAAAGATATCACCAACTATGCAGACTCTTTCTTTTGCCAATATCGCCCATTAAATCATACCATGGTAATTATCTTTAGTTTAACACAAATTATAGGTTCTTCAGTGTATGTCTCTTTAGACTATTGTCCGCTATTTTAATTTTGGTGCATTGCTGAGTAGCACAAATTGCTTCATTTTGATTTGATTTCCTTCCATATTTTCGTTGTCTGAGATTCAATTTGAGGGGCAAGTAAAAATGGCACAATTTGTTTTACACCAGACAAATAAAGAAAACCATGCATAAAATGAAAGACCTACAAAAAGAGAAACAGTATCATTAATCTTCTGTGGACAAGGGTATGTTAATAATTGGAAGTATACATTTCCATCATTTCTTCTTATGTTAAAGCAAAAAACAAAAAAGAAAAACAGAAAAGAGGGCATGGCTGCTTCTGGTAAAATATCTAAGCACACCACTGCCTATGAACAAAAGAACTCTAAAATCCTCTTCCTTGAGCTTTTTCTTTACGAGAACTGAGTGGGGCTTGAGAATGTCTGCCCAAATCGCCAATTGGCTGGAACGATGTCTAGGAATGTTTTTGTGACACCATCTGTTGCAGTGACCCTGAAGGACAGGGATTGTCCATTGAGATAAGCAGTGGATTGAAAATTGGCTCCCCAGTTGTTAGACATCGTCATCCAGTTTGTTCTTGAGCCTTTGATTTGAACAGATCGAACAGATCCAGCCCCTCCTACATTGCTTACCAAGACTAGCTCAAAATAATCCCTTCCATTGATTGTGAATCTAACTCCACCATGCTTCTTGCAAGGAACCCTGCTCCAGAAAGCAAGAAACGCACACTTTGTCAATTTAGCAAATTCCTTAATAACTTTATAATAACTGCCAAGAATCATGTCCGTAGTTGAACTAATAAGTTGTAACTTTTAAGTCATTGAAAGTGCAAGTGCACATAACTGTCAAGTGCACATATTTATAGCTGTTAACATGCCTGATTTTATATGTTACTATTCCACTTTTATGGACGGTTACATGTATATGTGATTTGATAGTGTAAAAATTCTTATAGCTGTCCGTGTATAGATGTTAGACTCATCTTTAGTATTGTTATTGTTCAAGCAAGAACCTTAAATCCAAGCAAAACTATTATTGAATGAAAGCTTTATTCTACCTTTGATAGATTACAGGGACAATGCCACCTCTGTAAATGGCAATCTTTTCCCAAGCAGGTTGAGCCATATCAAAATGTTGACGAGGGGGGTTACACCAGCCTCCGTTGTCGCTAGGAAGGGCATAATTTGGTGGGCAAAAGTTTGTGGCAGTGATGGTAACAGATACTCCCTTCTTGCACCAGCGCGGTTCTGCTTTGTAGTCACAGATGATCTTGTAGCATTGCCCACAAGATCCTCCACTGTTGAACAGGGCAGTGCTCAATGCTGCACTTCTAGTTCCATACCCTGTTGTATATAAGTTGCCGTATCCACAAGCACCCCCTGCCGCACGTTACACAAAAATACTATATTCATATAGTCGACCTGAACTAGTTTGAGGTTATACGTAAATAGTTGATATAATATGGTAAAGGTTGAGTAGTTTGGAAAATATTGGTACTTACCCATTGTGCCAGAAGCATCAGCCCCACCATAAAAGGTGGCATGAGCTCTCATCCATCCAGAAGCTTTGAAAGCAGTTGCATTGAAGAAAAGGCTAAAGAAACCAATTATGAAACCCAATGCAAGAATGCCACATTTGGCCATTTCCTTTGTAGATGCAAGTAGCAAAAGAAGAAATAAAATTGAGGAAATGGAATTGGGATGAATTCCAATAATTTGATGGGTTAACCAAGAAAAGTAGCTGCTACTTAAATAGGAGCTCAGTTTGTTTAATGCAACCACCTCACATGCAATCAGTGCAAGTGGGGGTGAGGTGGCTGAGAGAAAAACAATTTGTTTTCTATATTGAAATTGAATTCTCCCTATCAGCTGAGAACCTCATTCAATTATTCCCACGTTCGTCACCTTCCCCTCAAAGTCCACATTGTTTTCGCAAAAGATAAGCCGTGAATCGTTCTATATTTCATCTCAATTCTATTATGAAACATAAGACTAGCATCTCACTTGCGACATAAAATATAATTTTTGCCTTGAATTTGTATGCAAACTCACATGTCTTTGCTTTGACTTTACATTCTTTAATTAGTCCCATCATTCTCGTATTAATGCACATGCATGTTGGTGAAGTCCTATTTACTTGTCTTACAAGTCTAATAATACTATGAGCTCATTCTTTTCTCTACCAGATATGAGTTATACCTTAGCAACAAAGATGTGACCCGTTTGTCATAGTTTCCGGAGAAAGTTAAGTGTACGGAGTCGGTCTCACATGTTGTACCGTGGTAATGTTCTTGGAAAACTTACCACCTTAATTACTTTAATTTAATTTCCTTTGTTAGGCATGCACGTAGGCATATATATATACCATTAGTTTCTTCGCATTTATTTTTTTTAATTTTTTTTTTTTGTAAATTCCCTTGATGAAATTTTTGCTTCAGCCACTGCACGTAGGACCAAAAAGATTAAGCATGTTGGATGTTTGAATGACAAGGAAAAGGTTCCAAGTCCTAGGTTCGGAATTCATCCTAGTGTTTGGATTCGAATCGTTATGGCCATTTGGGTTACAAAATTATTTTGTACTAAATTCAGAAATAGTTTTCATACTTAAAAGAATGACGGGCTTTGAAGTATGAAGATATAAATATTAGAGGATTTAGAACCGGCGGCGGAACAAGGATTTTGTGTTTATTGGTTCTAGTATCTAGAAAAGATAACTTATAGTGTTCTGGATAAGTTATCTATACATATTAAGTGGTTTTTATAAAATACAAATACAAAGATTGGATCAAAGTTAGTGGTTGAATAGTAGCTGTGTGCCTCTGCCCCTGTTTAGAACTATGTAATGGTATAGTTCCAGTACGGAGTGTTTAGAATTATACATACTCTCTTCGTCTAATCTATGTGATAGTGTTTGAGGAGGCAAAAGAAAGAACGGCTTTTGAAACTTGTAGTTTAAAATAACTCAAACAAATTTTGAAGGCTATATATCATCTCATTAAGAATTAAATGGGAGGTTTAGGATTAAAATCTAACTAAATACAAAAATGTCATTTTCTTGAATTCACCAAAAAGAAAAGAGTGCCATAGAGATTCAGACAGAGGGAGTATAATGTATCATTAATTAAAATTTCTATAATTAAAAACATTTGTAGTCAAAAGTAGCCCAAGAAAAAACCGTAACAGAAAAGTACGGCTCTCAGCACAAAGCTTTCTGGGAAATGACGATGCCCGATATGTAACTCCAAATATCATAGCCAAAACAAACAAAAAGAAAAGTAAATTTAATCAGATTCATTTATCAAAGTGGTGAATTTTATTATTTGGTCTTTATTGGTTGGCTGATAATATTCGCTCATGATTAATTCCATGTTGTTTCCTTGAATCATGGCGCATGTAGAGAAACAAAGAGAGAGGTGTCTTATCATTTGATCTTCAGATTTTAGTAATTGAATAATAGCATCCTCAAACAAGTACAGAATGCGTACGTACGAACTTCAGAATTCACGAAACTAGCCATGTGCTTATCCTCCCCACCGTCAACCAAAAGCGCGAAGTTAATTCAAAAGTCTACTCTTAGAAATTCCTTTAGGATTCTTGTTTATTGCTAAGCTAACTGTTAGGATTGAAAAATCCGGTGTCACGTGGAGTTGGTAAAATAAATCTTGAACGATGATGCATTAGACAAACAACAACAATAATATACCAATATTATCTCACACCGTGGGTTCTGGGAGGGTAGTGTGTATGCAGACCTTACTCCTACCTTGTGAGAATAGAGAGGTTGTTTCTAATAGACCGTCGGCTCAGGATAGTATAAGTACCACATTAATGAAAATATAGGCAAGAAGAGACAGTATCAAAAAGCCATATAAAAGCAGAATAACACAACAAGACAGTAAAGTGATCAACAATGAATGAAAACAACGGTTAATCATAAAAACCTACTACCAACAGAAAATAATACTGCATGCCAATAATAATGTTATGAACACTCTACACTACCTACTGTACTACCCTAATTCTCGACCTCTATACCTTCCTATCAAGGGTTATGTCCTCGGTCAGCTGAAGCTGCGCTATATCTTGCCTAATCACCTCTCCTCACCTCTTCTTTGGCCTACCTCTACCTCTCCGTAGGCCCTCCAATGTCAACCTCTCACACCTCATCACCGAGGCGTATGTGCTCGTCCTCCTCACACGACCAAATCACCTAAGCCGCGCTTCCCGCATCTTGTCCTCAATAGATGCCACCCACCTTATCGCGAATAACCTCATTTCTGATCATATCTAACCTGGTGTGCTCGCACATCCATCTCAACATCCTCATCTCTGCTACCTTAATCTTTTGGACATGAGCAATCTTGACTGGCCAACACTGTGACGACCCGGCCGGTCGTCTTAAGAATTAACGCCCCGATCCCCTATTAACTGCTTCTCAAGTTTAATTCTGCTAATTCAATTCGCCGAGATGTTCGGTTTTGAGTTTCGAAGAGTTTTGGGACACTTAGTCCCTAAATGAGAGCTTAAGCATTGGAAAGTTGACCGTAGTTGGAACAGTGTGAAGACGGCCTCAAAATGGAAATCTGATGGTTCTGTTAGCTCCGTTAGGTGATTTTGGGGTTAGGAGCGTGTTCAGATTGTGTTTTGGAGGTCCGTAGCTAATTTAGGCTTGAAATGCCGAAGTTTGATTTTTGAAGTTTCCGGTCCGATAGTGAAATTTTGATCCGAGGGTCGGAATGGAATTTCGAAAGTTGCAGTAGTTCTGTCATGTCATTTGGGATGTGTGTGTAAAATTTTAGGTCGTTTGGACGTGGTTTGGTTAGGTTTTTGATCGAAAGCGTATTTTGAGGAAAAATTGGAGTTCTTAGGATTAAATCTTGATACATCTTCGCGGCACCCGGATGAATGGAATACCGCGAGCTATGTGCCTCCTCCAGAATCAACTCCCGAAGCCCCTCAACATTGGGTACACAAATCTGACTACGCCAAATCTTCAGAGCGTGAACAATGGCAGCTAACTCAAGGTCATGGACAGGGTAGTTCTTCTCATGTATCTTCAACTGTCTGGACGCGTAGGCAATCACCCTACCGTCCAACATCAACACTGCTCCGAGGCCAACCCTTGAGGCATCACAATAGACTATATAAGACCCCGAACCTGTAGGCAGTATCAAAATTAGGGCTGTGGTCAAAGCTGTCTTGAGCTTTTGGAAGCTCGCCTCACACTACTTCGTCCACTAAAACGGAGCACCCTTCTGGGTCAACTTGGTCATAGGGGCTGCAATCGATGAAAACCCCTCCATAAAACGATGGTAGTAACCCGCCAAACCAAGGAAACCGTGGATATCCGTAGCTAAGAATGGTCTGGGCCAACTCTGCACGACCTCTATCTTTTTCGGATCCACCTGAATGCCCTCACTCGATACCACGTGGCCTAAGAATGCCACTGAATCCAACCAAAACTCACATTTTGAGAATTTAGCATATAACTTCTTCTCTCTCAGAGTCTGAAGCACAGTCCTCAGGTGCTGCTCATGATCTTCCCGACTCCGGGAGTACACCAGAATATCATCAATAAAGACAATGACGAACGAGTCAAGATACGGCCAAAACACACTGTGCATCAAATGCATAAAGGTTGCTGGGGCATTGGTCAGCCCAAATGACATAACAAGGAACTCGTAATAACCATATCGAGTCCTGAAAGCATTCTTCGGGATATCTGGCTCCCGAATCTTCAACTGATGGTAGCCTGAGCGCAAATCAATCTTAGAAAACACTCGTGCGCCCTGAAGCTGGTCAAACAGATCATCAATACGAGGCAAAGGATAACGGTTCTTCACGGTAACCTTGTTCAACTGGCGATAATCAATACACATCCGCATAGAACCATCCTTTTTCTTCACAAACAAGACAGGAACACCCCAAGGTGATACACCGGGCCTAATAAAACCCTTATCGAGCAATTCTTGTAACTGATCTTTCAACTCCTTCAACTCACGAGGAGCCATACGATACGGAGGAATAGAAATGGGCTGAGTGCCCGGCAACAGATCAATGCCAAAATCAATATCTCTATTAGGCGGCATGCTTGGAAGGTCAACTGGAAACACATCGGGAAAGTCCCATACTACTGGAACTAAATCAACTGAAGGAGTATCAATACTGACATCTCTCACATAAGCTAAATATGTGTCACACCCCTTCTCAACCGTACGCTGAGCTTTAAGAAAAGAAATGACTCTACTGGGGGTGTAATCTAAGGTACCCCTCCACTCAACACGCGGTACACCTGGCATAGCCAGCGTCACGGTTTTGGCGTGACAATCAAGAATAGCATAATGGGACGACAATCAGTCCATGCCCAAGATAATATCAAAATCAACCATGCTGAGTAACAATAAATTGGCTCTGGTCTCAAAACCACTAAGAGCAACCAAACACGACCGATAAACGCGGTCCACAACGAGAGAATCTCTCACAGGAGTAGAAACATAAATAGGGGAACTCAAAGAATCCCGAGATACCCCCAAATGTGGAGAAAAATAAGAAGAGACATAAGAAAAGTAGAGCCTGGATCGAATAGAACCGATGCATCTCTGTGACAAACTAATATAATACTTGTGATGACAGAGCCGGAGGCAACAACCTCGGTACGGGCAGGAAGGGCATAGTATCGAGCCTGGCCTCCCCCTTTAGGGTGACCTCTACCTCCCCGACCTCCACCTCTAGCTGGCTGAGCAGGTGGGGTAGCAACTGGAGCTGTAACCATAGCCTGAGAACTCTGCGGGGCACGCTGTGGCTGGGAAGTCTGTGGAG